GATCATCGACTTATGTTTAATATATATATACAAACAATCTCACTACACAAAGCTCCCTAACACCTTGATGATCATCACGGTCAATACCAGTGGTGAATCTAAAAATAAATTTTACCGGGATCATAATATAATAACTAAATTAATAATTAAGTATTTCTTAAAAATAAATGAATAAAGTGTTTAGAATAAAATAAACATACGCGGAAAACTATGGAAGAAGGTGTAATTATGGGTGTAAATTAACCCAAAAAAAAGTAATAACATAAATTAAAAAGAGAATATGATAAAATGGTGCTTTTTACCATTTCAATCACTGAAGCTAATGTAATTTTAATGTAAAACTAATGTATATCAAAACATTAATGGTGTCACTTGACCCCTAAAGTTGTTAGTGGGTTCGCCACTGGTCAATACGGGTCCAAAGCCCACGACAAACGGTTCTTCCTATAGCGAAGCAAGTCTACATCTCGAACCAAACGTTCCTAGACTTCCAATACAGCAAGAAAGAACTCTAACTATCAAGTTCTTCACACTTTTTCCAGATACGGCGGTGTTGAAAACTCAACTTTTAACACATTGAAATGATTATATCTCAATCAGATCTAAGTAGAATCAAGGAGCCAGAACCACCTCGAACCGACAAACATCAAACTCAGACAAGAACGACAAGCGATTGAAACCAACGAGGTAAACCCTCATTCTCTGATCAGAAGATAATGGTGATTGCCAATAGTAAAGGAAATCATCGAAGATGGGTCTGAAATGTGAAGCCCATTGGGCTCAATACATCCCGCGTATAAATTCCAAATGCCCACCTTGACTTGGAATCCCTGAAACGCTGGTCTACCGAGAGGTTTTGTAGAGATCTCAACCTACTAGGAATGTAAATACCTTTAGACCGTTTTGGGAATATAAATACCACGTTGTTTCTTCATAGAATGTTGACAATCTCTGCTTTAAATCGGTGATGGCTCCATATTCTCTTCTTTAACAGTACCAACATAATCAAACTGCACACCACCCTTGCAATACCTCTGGTGAGCGGATCGTCTAGACAAAGTCAAATTCAATTTTTCGAAGTTGGAAAACGGAGATGAAAGCACGAGGTGACGAGAGACCATGAGGTGTCTCAGAAACATGATAAATCAAAGGCACGCCAAATCATAAACACGATAGATCAGAAAGCATAACAAATTAGAAACACAACAAATCATTAAACACGAGGTGTTGAAACTGTGTTTGGCGAGTCGTCACACAACATGACACGTGTCCACGACTCATCAGCAGCTTTACCAGCTCCAAAACCCTATCTAAACCCCTTAACCCTTAGATTTTAAGATCCATATCTGAAAACCTTTAGTAGAACCTTACCTTAGGTTAGATTCCATGAGTTTTTTTCGAGTGTCTTATGAGAAGTCTTGGTAGTTAAGGACGCCATAGTAGATACCAAGAGACAGATCGATAAAGGTCACTAGAACCAATCTAGTTTCCCGAACCAATCCACCTAAGGTACATTTACCTCTTGACCATGGCCTAAAACTTTGCAA